TGTATTGCAGTTATATCTGATCAAATGCACATTGTTATTCTTTAGCTTGGGTTAAACAAATCATTTATGCTTGGTTGGAACAGCAGCTATGCTATAATTGTCTCTATTTGTTTCTCTGTAACTAGGATTTACACAAGCTTCAGTCTGGATCCAGAACACCTGAGAAGAGATGATGCCAACCCCTCAGAGGACCTCAGATGATGCCAACCCTGAAACAACATACAGAACTACCACATTTTGCTATAAGTTTGATTGCATCATATAATAATTGCTGTTAATAGTGTTCATCGTCTGTTTTATTACGTCTTAAATTGATTTTCCCGTACATTTCTGCCATATGTACATTAACTGACATAGTCACCACTGATAAGCTACTACTAAATATATTGTAGAAACTTAATTTTCTGTAAAGCTGCTTTGCAACGATTTGTATCGTGAAAAGCGCTATATAAATAAACTTGAATTGAATTGAAAACAGCACAAAAAATCATATGGACCACTTTTATGCACTTCTATGACACGTTTATGGTGCTCTTTGTCATTTTTGTAGAATCTGTCCACATTCCCTTTCCTTTTTAAGAAAACAGCAGTGTGAAAGTTGTTAAGCATCTCTTTGTGTGTTAGGCAGAATAAATAAAGTTTGAAACAACATGAGAGCGAGTAAATAATGACACAAAGTTCATTTTTGGCTGAACTTTCCTCTCACAATTTTTCAGCCCCACCTTTATTAGAGAAATGAAATGGTTCTGATTAACCTACGAAATCTCGAACTGAGTTTAGAAACACACAAACCACAAATTAACCGAGTCTGAAAGTGTTGCATAGAAACAGCGGCTTTGTTTTAATCGTTTGTTAAAAAACAAGTTACGGCAAGTCTGCTAATTAGGAGCATTAAAGCAGCAGAACGTTCTTGACCGCAAACCAACTGACAAGCAGCTCATTAAAACTCTCCCCAACAATTACCACACAACAACAGCGGCTGCTTTACGGCCTTTCCACCAGCAAGTGCACATGTGATCGGAGTATGCTTGAAATTTTAATTAGCTAAAGCATGAAATATTTAAGAAAAAACTCCCAAGCCGTTCCCAGGCTTATGTAAGAGCACTCGCAGCTCTTCTTCACGCTTCTGGTTTCTGGCGGCTGGAATGGGTTTTGACGAGAATCCTCAGATAATCTATTCCCTCAACAGATCCTCGGCTGTAATAATTAGGACACAAAGAAGAGAGGAAATTTTCACATGTCCTCATTATGCTTAAATATCCGTCTTGTACTAGAGCTTCACACTTTGTCTATTTAGCATTATAGAACATTAGAGAAGTGGACTCTAGTTCACACAACAGTTTTAGAGTAGAAAATGCTGACGCGTAAATTAAAAATACAGGCCTGAACTAACTTACAGTGCATTTCATACACAGTGGTGCTTAATTGGCATAAAAAGAATAAAGATTACAATCAGTTCACAAGTTATTTTAAAAAGGACTGAAATGAGAGTTAAGTTCATTTAAAAACACATTCAAATGAATTAGAAGGAAAGCGAAAAACAATTAAATCAATGCAATCAGAGAACACAGATAAACAACATGTATTTTAATTAGGGAGATCTGCAAACATGAATACATTTAGATGTTACTGCAAACCTAAACTAGCAAAGTCTAATGTTATGTTGGTTTTGCTGGAAATTCAAGAAAAATGGTTTCTATATTGTTCTTTAGATTATACATTTAAAGCAAATTAAAAATGAAATGCACTACTGTTCAAAAGATTATTTGAACAAGATTCTTTGAAAGAAATTAATACATTTATGCAACAAGGATGCATTACGCTAACCAAACATGACATTATCTACATGTATAATGTTACATAAGATTTCTATTTCAAATAAACGTTGTCCTTTTGAACTATCTATTCATCAAAGAATCCTGAAAAAATGTGGTTTCCACAAAAATATGAAGCAGAACAACAATCTGCAAACAAATATTTCTTGAGCAGCAAATCAGCATATTAGAATGATTTCTGAAGGATCATGTGACACTGAAGTAATGATGTTGAAAATTCAGATTTGATCACAGGAATATATTACATTTTACAATATATTACAAACAGCTATTTTAAATTGCAATAATATTCCAAAATATTACTCTTGTTTTACTGTATTTTTAATCAAATAAATGCGGCCTTGGTGAGCAAAAGAGACATTTGAATGGTAGTTTATATTTCAAGTCATTTGATTATTATTATTATTATATATTTTTTTATTAAATTCAAAACAGTAAAACTAACATTAAAAACACTATAACTTTGAACGAGCCAAATCTAAAGCAGTGGTAAATAGCCACCTTCACCATAACAGAGTCATAGTTAACCAAAACTAAAACTTAAAAACATAAATAAATATCAGCTAGTTGTCAAGGCAACATTCCCATTTTCATTTAATTTAGTGTAAGAAAAAAAAAAATCTAAAACTAAATAAACAAAATAATAATAAAAATGAATAAAAACTGTGTATACATATATTTAAAAATAAATAATAAAATAATAAATAATGTCAAAAACAGGAAAATTACTAATAGTTTAAGAGAAAATAGAATATATAAAAATAAAATCTAATTTAAAATATTAACAAAACGAATAATATAGTACTGTATCCATAATAGTAACTATAACTATAATAGTAACTTAAAGTAATAGTTTAGCATCAATGATAGTAAAACAATGACATAAGAAAGAAAGAAGTCAGACTGACACATTTTCATGTTTGGATCTGCTCACTCTGAACACCTACAGCGGGATTGACGCTCACCTGACCAGTGTCCGGTCGTGGCTCCGGATCGATCCGTGCAGGTGTCGCTGACGGGCCGGAAGACCGTCTCCCAGCCTTTAGGAGCGTAACGCCAGTTGTGGGACTCGAGGATCAGGACTCTCTGCGTGCCGTAAGCGATCATGAAGCAGTAAACCACGTGATGGAGCTGACAGCCGTATCCACAGCCCTTATTGATGTTACACACCAGCTTACGAGCTTTACTGCAGTCCTGCGGGTTCTGAGCCACAAATGACATACGCAATTACAGTTAGCACTGCGTTTAGATCACACTAATTTGTATCAATATAGCATGTGCACAGAAAATAAAATAAAATCCAGATGAAGAAGAGAAATGACATACTGTATGCAATTACAATTAGGACTAGAGATTAAATAAATTAGATTAAATAAATTTGTACCAATGTTGCATGTGTAAATAAAACTAAATCTAGAAAAAAAAAGAAGACAAATGACACATAAAATAAAATAAATAAAATAATAAATACAGACGAAGACGACAAAATAGATATGCAATTAAAATTATGACTGCATTTTCGATTCAATTAATTTGCATGTGCATGTGCACATACAATACAATAAAAATTAAATTAAATAAAACAAATATATAAAACACAAAGATAAAGAAGAGAAATGACACATGTAATTAAAATTAAGGCTGCATTTTAGATTAAATTAATTTGTCCTAATATATCATGCAAAAATAATAAAATTAAATAACAAAAAAAACAGATGAAGTACTCTAAAAATGAATGCTAAATTCCAAAGACTGTTTTCCCACAATCCCTTCACCAGGATGCAATGCTTGTTTCCAGTGCAAGCTTTCAGGCTTTACGCAACAATCTCGGATGAGTTCATATTCTCCAGTGAGAGCTGTCTGATTTCATTATTAAATCACATTCACTGCATGTAAGCAGGGTCTCAAAGAGACAAGAGAGAAACACAGACAGAGACAGAGAGACAGAGGGACAGAGACAGACAGGGACACAGTCAACCCTTTGGAGATTCATATAGTGAGATTGAAACAGTCCCATCTGATTTCAGAAAGGCTTTCATGAGAGGCTTGATGTATTAGATCATCTATTTCATTCAATGTTTCATCCACAGGGAAAGACTGAAGGTGAATAAGGTGCTACAGCCATGCAAAAGCAGGGTCAAACAAAAAATGTTATTTAATTTAATAAAAAAAAAAAAATAAAAAAAAAAATAGTTCGGGGTCAGTAAGAATAAAAAAAAAAACATTTGTTATTATTATTTTATTTTACATTAATTTTAATAAATATTTTTGAGCAGCAAATCAGCATATTAGAATGATTTCTGAAGATCATGTGACACTGAAGACTGGAGTAATGATGCTGAAAATTCAGCTTTACATCATATGAATAAATTACATTTTACAATATATTCACAAAACACTTAATTTCATTTAAAGTGTAATAATATTTCACAATTTTACTGTATTTTTAATGAAATAAATACAGCCCTGGTGAGATTTTTCAAAAGCATTAAAAAATGTATAGACCTCAAACTTTTGAATGATTAAATAAATAAATAAATAAATAAAAGGTTGCTTGAAGGAGATCTCATATTAATTATAATATTACAGTACTAATAATAACTGCAGTTATTTGGGCAGTAATTATGGTTATCATGTTACATATTTGCCAGAGATGAAGTGATTCTGTGTGTCCAGCAGTGGAAGATTTTAGCTGTCTATATTTCCCTTTAGAAATGCTTTTTCATTTTTATTGTGCCATTAGAGGAAATGAGTTACGATAATCGAATTGTCTGGCGGCTCTTTCACGTTAGTGTATTTGTCTGGGGATTTTTTTTTTTGAGTGAAAGCTATATAGATTTTACTCTTAATCCAAATTCAATAGTGTTGGCACAGAGTTTGCTATGGCAGTAGATAAAGCACTCTCATCTCAAAAAGCCTCGAAGTGCTGCCTGAGCATAAAACTGGAGCAGCATACGCTTACAAAAATATACTGTGACGGTACTATGGTACAGTGATGGTATGGAAATCAGCCATCAGAGAGTATTTGATATATACTATGGTACTGAATGATAACCAGATTTATTAAAATAATATTACATAAAATCAATAAAACATTTAATAAAATAAATTCCGATTTAATAAAATAAAATAAATGTGTTGTTACTATGTTACAGTGATATATACAATGGCACTAAATGATAATATAAAATATTCAACAAAATAAAATAAAATAAATACTATGGTACATGGCGATATTAGTAGAGTGATTGTATGAAAATCAGTGATAAGATAGTATTTGATATGTACCATGGTATTGAATTATAACCAGATTCATTAAAATAATTGTATATAAATAAAATAAATAATCTAAAATAAATACAATTAATAAATTAAATAATAAAATAGAATAAAACCGTAAAATAAAATAAAATAATAAAACAAAATGAAAAATAAAATAAAATAAATAAAAAGTGACAGAAAAGACATGTATTGTGTTACTGAAGACTTTTATGTCAAATAAATTGTTGCTGAAAAAACAAACAGTCTAGTTTAGTCAGGCTAACTCATGGCTCACCATCTAAACCAACTGAAAACCAGTTTAAACAAGCCAAGAGACCAGATAAACCAGCTTAAACTGGGTAGTTACACTACAGGTAGGTACCATCCGTAATGAGCAGCTATATGTTGTTCTGTTAAATAACATGGGATCTTCGATGATTCTTTTTGGATTGACTTGACAATCTTTTTCTTGCTTTATTGCAGAAAACAAATTATGTATGTTCGAGGCATAAGAGTCGAGATTCAAAAGATCTCGCAACATAACTTTGAAAATATACATGAAAATGGTTAAATAAATCAATAAAAGACTGACTTCAGTTGATCTTACACTTTGATTTTCATTAGCGGTGGTTTGTAAAGAAAATCAAACTCACAAACGACATCAATATTTCCTTTACAATAATGGCATAAAGTCATAGATCTCAGTATAAAGAGAACGGAGGGAAAAAAGAAACAGTCCCAAAGAGGAACAACGGTACAAAGTGAATCATATCAGAAAATATAATTCATTAGTGTTGTTCGCTTTATTGCTTCTGCACATTAGGGCTGTCAAAATGGCTGAAAAACTAAATTCGAATTTTGTGCTTAAATATGATCAAAATTCGAATTATATTTGAATTTAAAATGCATAGACAGGCTAACAAAAACATTATAATGCAACGACACTTACATCGTCATCGCATCTGGTGCAGCACTGGTAAGGCTGCCTCCTTAACGCACACCATAAAATGTGGATTTTTATTTTAGTTGATCTTACACTTTGATTTTCATTAGCGGTGGTTTGTAAAGAAAATCAAACTCACAAACGACATCAATATTTCCTTTACAATAATGGCATAAAGTCATAGATCTCAGTATAAAGAGAACGGAGGGAAAAAAGAAACAGTCCCAAAGAGGAACAACGGTACAAAGTGAATCATATCAGAAAATATAATTCATTAGTGTTGTTCGCTTTATTGCTTCTGCACATTAGGGCTGTCAAAATGGCTGAAAAACTAAATTCGAATTTTGTGCTTAAATATGATCAAAATTCGAATTATATTTGAATTTAAAATGCATAATTTCAGTTAGGGTCCCGAGGCCACAAGAGGGCGCGTCGAGCATAAGATAACATGGCTATCTGTGAAAAAAAGTGCATAATGTTTAAAATAATGTTTATAAACCAATTATAATTAATTATGTTGCTTAAACAACTATAAACAAAACAGCATCATGTATGTATTTATAGTTTAATACAAAGGGTGGAAAGCTAATCACGCAGAGCACATTTTTCATTTAAAAACATGAGATGC